AACACACACCACACACGTGTTTCACTCCACTAACTCCTTGTTTTGCACTGATTCTCAACATGTTTGCAATGTTTATTTATTATTTTATATTTATAAGCGCTATATACATTCAATTTAAACAAATTTATTCTATTTTCCAACTGTGTTAAACCTTAAAAAGATGAAAACTCCTAATCTCATGATAGTTTTAAATAAATTATTGGACAACACGTTCACATCAGCTTTAAAATGTTATTTTGTCTTCATTTAAAAACTGTAATCTTCTGAATATTTGTTGACTTGTTTGTGTTTAGTTGTTGGAGCTGTTGTTATAAAGTTTTCATGCAGCAGAGGACAGCTGCACCGGAAGTGGCACAGACCCGGAAGGAACAGACCCGGGTCTGAACAGAACCGGGTGTTTACATTTATTCTGAGGTTGGGTCAGGAGGTGTGGTGGAGCAGACCTAAAGGCAGAGCAGAGTGGACCAGGACGGTACAGCTGGTCCTCCGGAGGTGGTACTGGATGAAGCCGACATCCTCGCTGCCCAGCCAGGAGGAGAACAGGTTCTGGACGGTCAGCCCGGCGGCCCGGAACTCGTCCGGAGTAAACACGAAGCAGACAGAAAGAACTAGGTAAGCTAAAGTAAAAGATAACTCCGGACTCTCCATGCTGAAGCTGGGTTCAGAACCAGAACTGTTCCGGGTCCATCGGTGTTTGTTTACTCTCTCTGCTTCCGTCGGATGCGGTTCTTCTTCTGTGGTGTTTAATGGCGGTTGTCAAACAACAGAAGGTGTACATTACCGCCACCTACTGATGTGGAGTGTGGGTCAAAATGTTTTTATGTGATGTCGCTTAAATTCTTTTTTTTTCTCTTTGTTTTTCTAAAAAAAAAAACCATAAAACAATCTGTACACTTTTACTTCTCGTTTCTTTTTGTAATATATTTATTATATTAAATGCTTAATTAAACTTTCCCTAATTCCTCTGTCATCCATCATCTGTGTTCGTACTTAAACACACTAAAACAACATGTTTTATAGTTTCTTCTTGTCCAAAGTGCTCACATTGACCTGTTTCATGTTTATGGTTTTTGTATAATGTGTTGTTCAGTGCAGTGTGTTTATTTATTATCACTGAACTGCACTGGGTAATTTGTTTTAGAGTTTGCTGTTGGTTTGGGGGAGTTGTCGGGTTTTTGTTGAATATTTAGTGATATTACCTTTTAATTGTGTTTGGAGAGTGGGGTGGGATGTTTGTGTATTTTTATTGCTGATTGTAAAATGCTTTATTTTGTATTGCTTTTTTTTCTTTTCTTGTTTTTATTATTGTTGGATGTTGTGTTGTTTTTATTATTGTTGGATGTTGTGTTGTTTTTATTATTGTTGGATGTTGTGTTGTTTTTATCATTGTGGGATGTTGTGTTGTTTTTATTATTGTTGGATGTTGTGTTGTTTTTATTATTAGGAGGACTGCAGATGTAAACTAGCCTAAGGTTAAATCTGGTGCAACGCATCAAATGTTTTTGTGTTTATGTTTTAATTGCACATAAAATTAAAAAACCTAATTCTACTTATTAATCTTTCTTCTCTTCTGCTCCTTCCTCCTGTTCYCATTTCTCCCACTTGTCTCTGAATCCTGTAAAAMCATCTTCCTTTGTTATCTTCTTCCCAGTGTTTTTGCCATTGCTCCTTCAGTTTTTGTTTGACTGTAGATCTTATTTACGTATTGACACTGTGAGGCTAATTTGATGTTTCGTTGCTTGTTTTGCTGCTCTGTCTGCTGCTTCATTCCCTCTGACTCCTATGTGTGCTGGTATAAAAAGTTTAYTGTTATCCCATCATTTGTATTCTGAATAATGTTTGTAGTATTTCTAATAAAATGTCTGATCGACTGTTCTGCAAACTTATARGTGTTGAGCTTGAATCTGAACAGACGATTGTTTTTAATGGTCTYGTCTCTTCTRCCCACTGCACTGCCAACATCTCCCCTGTGCACACTGATGCTTGATTTGTGATCCTTTTCTTTATTTCTATTTTGAATTCTGGTATTATTTATGCCACTCCTACTTTTTCTGTTGTTGTTTTTGATGCATCTGTGTACATCTGCACATATTTATGATAGTTATTAATAGAATCTTGTACCATGTATGAATTAAAAACAAATCTTCTGTCTTTTTTCCTGTCCATAAGTGTCATATCAACTTTTGCATCTGGTGGAATCCAGGGTGGTTTTACTGGTAATGGAACTATTGGACTAATACTATGTCTAATGTATCAACTTGAATTTCCTCTGTTTTCTCTGCAATCATCCATCCAAAGCTTTTACATCTTTTCTTTCCTTCTCCCAGCTTGGTTTAAAAATATCCACTGTTGGATGTTCTGGGTTGTTTCCTTTGAGGTTGATCCAGTAGTTAATTGCTAATTGATCTCTTCTTATAGTTCAGATTTATTGTCATTTTGGGGAGGGGGTCCTGAAGAAGGGTGGACCGCCAGGTGCGGTCC